TCCCAGATATTGAAACACTTTGTGTTATAAAACAGCCGCTCAAACAGAATCTTACTTGATCTATCCAGAAAGGGTAGAATAACGCTCACCTTTTGGTGTTTTCGGTAACTTTCATGTATTTCTTACCACTTTGCTATTCATTGTAATTTAGATTGAATATTTTGGTATTAATTGTCAGTTGAATAACTGGGTGGTAATATTTTTTTAGGTAAATTTGTGCATTTGTATATATGATGAAATTTTTAGTACGTTGTTACCCAAAACACTTTGTTCTGATTTTGATTGGGTCACGAGTCTATAAACCTATTCCTCCGTTATTCCGCCACATCCGGACTTATTGGAATCTAGGTTTGGATCTTACAGATCTGTATTGGTATTGGTCCTAATTACAATCCTCAAAGCCTAACATGAGATAACTGGGAATATAAACTTTCAACATGTAACAGTAAGAGATGGTCAATAACAGTGAACACGGGAACATATTTTCGAAACCCAATTCGTTGAATGGCATGGCTCAGCGTTGCGGGCGTGGTCATTCTTAAGTAAATTATTTCCTTCATTGGTATTAAATATATATGTTACTCCATCTCCAGCTTGAGTGTGTATTTTAGAAACTCCAGACATGTTGATTACTACGATACGATTAGTCACTGCAGACAATGATGTGAAGTCCACCTTATAGATTAGGCAGTCACACCATGACATCTACAATTTTAGGATAAGGTCTCTTATTGGAGCAGTACTAATAACGAATTAGACCATAATTCTACAGATCACTGGTAGTAAGCCGTTGATTGTGCCGTTTTCTCGACAAATTTTATGGGGTAGTACTGACCACATTAGTTTTAATGGACTCAACTAGCTAAAGGCGTTCGGTTACGCATCCGCACCAGATCACGAGTAGAAACGCCGTGTTACAAACCCTCTTCATCTGTTAGACTGCCTAAACAAAAGGATTCTAGATATATCGATAGCTTTTCATATACATCATTGAAGCCATTCATTTCCGACTCCTAATTTGACTGGGTTGATGTGCTTCGATTATGAAAGTATTGCATTTAAATTCACTGTGGAGCTCCCCAAATGCCCTGGTACGGCCGAGAGTGGGGAGAGTCACCTCTTCATCTCGAAATACTCTCATATGGCCACGCATATATAGCCTCTGCCACGGAAGTTCTACTAACTGCCTTCTCACACCACGGGTGTTGTTTACGAAACTGAGAGGACGAAAAGCGAATACCCGGTGCTTTAACCGGGTTGGTGGACACGGAAAGTTCGCCTAAGGGAGTTGGAAAACCCTGATTCCAAACCAATGGTGCACATGGGCTGGCTCCAGTATCCTGATGGAACGAATGGCGGACGAACCTGTCATTGGTCAACGACTACCATGGGACTGCATCTCCTCACGATGCTCCACTGCCTTGTGGATCAGACATTCAGGTCATAGGCTCCGGGTGTGGCCCCCTAAGATAACCACCTGCTTCAGTCTGGGCACCTGGGCAGTATCACAGCCTTCACACAAATCGAATGGGATTTGTGAGGCGCATATTTGTCTGGTGCTTCATTGTACCGAATACATCTGACACGTTTATATCGAATCAGATATGAACTCTTCTGTAGCACAAGCAGCGTCAGCTTACACTGCCATGCAAAATCCTTCCAAGACAATATAAGTTGGTTACTTTTGCTATGGTGCATTCACAAGCGAAATTATATTTTTTGGATGACCTTTGAACGAATTGTACAGGACCTTGAGAAATATTAGTCAAGCAGAAAACAGTCAGTATACAGTAAATATATCACACAAAACCACAGAAATAAAGTGGATAAACTTCCTTTACATGGTTCAAAAGCTTGTCAAGATTAGAAAGAGGTTCAAGGGCTCTAAAATCGTAATGCATAAGGTAGAGGAACTCATCCATATGGCTCCATAAAAGTCGGCCTCTGAAGCCATGACGAGGTCGCGAAAACTCTCAGCTACGACCATACAGCTTCAATATTGTTTGTTTATACTCCGGTTGTGTAAGTTTCTCATTTTTATTACGCATATATCCATACAATACTTATATTACTGAACAGCCTGTAACTGTAAATTATTCTTCAAAATCAATAGCTCTGTAAGCATTTGACATTGGATGCTGACAACATTAGTTTTAGTGCACTCTTTTAGCTGAAGGCGCTCGGTCATGTATCCGTACCAGATCACGTTACTGAATGGCTTAGGAAACATCTACGATCATTAGCCAAATTAGATCAGTCACTTCTCGATATAATGATAACCCATCAAATATATCTTCAAACCTCCTCGTTTCTGACTTCTGATTTTAACTGGGTGGGCGCGATTCGATAACGGGTGTTACTGGTTAAGAGTTGCCAAACTACAACACTGCTGGAATCTTTAAGCCGAAGCCTTAGTAACATTTGAGAATATTACAGTCAATGTTATTGATGCTTTTATAATGCAGTTCGCGGCAATTTTTATAATTTGCTCTGGGATCAATGTAGATCGAGCGAAAGAAGTTCCTATTCTACCAGACTCCTTCTTCCAACATACATTACACTGAAAGACATCATCACGGTAATCTGCACGAGATCTACCAGTCATTTGATTACCGCAATTACAAATAAAACATCTTAATAGTGCCATTTATTGTAACCTCCAAGTTGTCATATCTTCCCTAAAATCCGCTGTGAGCCGATCGTAAATGAATACCAGGTGTTGAAATTGGCTCAGTGACCTTAAAATCCTAAGACGCTTCTGATTGGCTGATCCATAAATTATAGTCTCACCGTCTTTGGAAATCTTGTCGCCATCAAGAATTTGTTTGGAGAGTAGAGAAGTTCAGATTGGAGTTACCGTAAATGATCTGTTGCAAAAGACGATGAGAAACTCAAACTATAAAAAGGAGACCTGACTTTCACTTCAGTTCCATGCATACTGAAGTAAATTACATTATGTGTTACGCGACCACCACTGGCATTAACTAAGTTTCTATCATGAATACGATGAAGGAATTGATCAATAACTATAAATTTATGTAATCAAGATCTCCATTGTAATATAGAGATGAGAATAACAAAGAACAGATAGTACGCTTTTTCTCCTTAGCCAAGTTTGAAGTGTTGGCCTTTATCGATAGTTGCGTCTTTTCGATATAGAACGCTACAACATAATATCACTGAACATTTGTCTTATATTATTCATCAACACGACGGTATCGTTTTCGTCACTTGAAGGATGGACGTTGTCAGACATAGTGTGGCTGAACTCAATTCAAATCTTAAAATGACTTGACAATTTGACACCTCAACTTATTTCCATTATCTTACCGGCGAATACGGGGTGATCTAATATTGGCATATCGTATCCTGAACGATGACCTTGGTACCAACATATCCTATCTTTTCCTCCCGTCTAGGGCTGATCATTTGAGAGGACATTCAACGAAAGTCCAAAAACCGAGATCAAATCGTCTACGTCTGAAGTTTCGTTTCTCGCACCGAGTAGTGAATTAATGGAAGTCTCTACCAGAGCACATAATATCAACACCTTCTGTTGATATATTCAAGACGAGATTGGACCTCCACAGTGTAACAAACTGCAAGGATTAAAATAGGTCACTGGACCTCCTGCCCTTATTACTGAAGATTAAATTTCGGATTGACGCACCAACAGTTTGACCTTCATGAACTGTGCAACCTCCGTCAGTGGACGATACCCCTTTATCGTTGCCAAACACTAACTATGTATAGCTTGAACTTTGTCATATTTTTAAAATGTCGTACCTCCTGATTGTATATTACTGAGCCCTAAGAACGTATTGTAGTTCTGTTGTTATTCTTCTGTGGAACTAAATAGTGTTTTTTGAGTTCATCTTTCATGTAACAATTATTATAATTACAGTAATTAAATTACATTTGTAGTTGTTGTATAAACGAACAATTCATCATCTAGACAGAGGGAGCCTGTATTTAATTTAGGCAAGTTTAAGAACCTTCACTTTCAATTGGATAGTACATGATCTTATCGTATTCACTCCTAAAAGTAAACTTGTAGTAATTTCGAAAGTTTGCTTTGGACCTAAAGCATAGTTTATAGAGTCCTGTATCTTGATCACTAAGCCAACATTTCAGTGGCCATTATGAACTGTGATGTAATTTTCACCATTTTTATGGAACAGGTAGCCAGTTAATTCAACTGAACACAATTGCGAGAATTCGGTAGGTTTTTTGATGAGTAGTTAAAAGTAACCGCAACCCTCCCATGTACATATCTACATGCTAGAAAACCACCAGATGTAAATTGTCCACTTTTCATGGAATAATGTTTAAAAATATGAATGAGATCAAATGGTAGTTGAAATGGATCTTCATTTGCTTCCTTGGTTATTCAGTCCTATACTTTTGATTTAGTTGAAAGTTAATATAAAGGAACTGATATCTCAAGCATTTACTTGAGTAAATGCAGATCTGTTTCTAATAAATTACAGAGCGATTGTAATCGAAGTATTTCGTTTTCACAAACTTTATACCATGATTTCACTACAATTCAGTTTGTTGTGTATCTAATTAAACATCACCATTGATTTCAAAAATCACATCACTTTGGAAGTTAACGACTATTTTGAAAAATGTAACTACTGTCTTTAGACCGTATGCTATGTCTCCTTTTAATATAGTTACATCTTTATTTTCAAGAATAATGTTTGTCGTGTAATCCAATTGAAGCAAACCAAGTGGTACTCGGTGGGTACAGCCTTGAGTTAGCTTATACGTATTCATTTTAGATGCTGGATATAATTTTGTTTTACAATTTTTCACATGGCTTCATTCTTACTTGTTATTTGGTGTTCTACTACATTCGTTTCCATTTCTTTTTTCAGAGTTTGCTGTTGTTGACTCACCAATATACTGGCTCGTATTTTTTCCATCTATAACGAGTTGGGTAAATTTTGCTGTCTATAATTTAGGATTGCATGGAATAAAGTATCTTAATAAGCATGAATCGTCTATTGTCACTTCAAAGGGCTAGCTTTTCCTTAGTCAACCTTTATCAGTCGTCAGTTTGTAAAGGAAGTATCTTTGATCCGAATTGTTCACAAAATCGGGTTTTAAAACCAACTATACGCTGGAAATCTAAAGGGGGACATGTGAAAAACGTTAAAAAACTTTGTCGAAATGATATCACTGCAGAAGTTTTGTCATTTATAAAAGAGGATAAAATGAACAAAGAATTCCAAAATGTCTTGTCACGTTTTCAAAACTTTATAGTCCAGCGTTTGAGTTTAAGAATGACTCCACAGACATTTTTCGATATTATGGTAAGTATATGGTTTTATAATAATTTAAGTTGTCCGTTCACTTGATTCAAGTATGTTCACAAATGTTGATGTATGAACCCACAATTTAGTTCTCGGTCGCTATTGATTGAAGGTATATTCATTAGCCTGCAATTTCAGAGTGGAGCACTTTAGTTACTTTAAGTTGCTTCACCAATTTACATAGAATCGACCAGCCACTAGAACTATACAAACAAGTGCACACACAACACTCCGCTTAGTAGTATAAGCAAAATCAGAAAACTATTCGTTATTTCGCTTTCAATTACATATATCGCTTTACATGTACATGAAAAAGCATGTACATCGAAAGCACAGAAAGGCGAGCATTCATTCGTTTTACTCAAAATATTCCAAGAAATATACATCTCCAAGCTCAAAATAGCCTTCTTAGTTCAATAGCGCGTCAATTGCTGGACACGTGGCATAAAGTTGATGCAATGAACTTATTCGAAGTGATTAGTTAATAGTCCAGTCCCATCTTACGATTCTCGAGGACTATAGTAGTCATAAGGCGTAAACTTGACGCTTGTATTCTCAAAAAGTTACTGCTTAACTTTCATCTGGCTTGATAACAGAAGCGAATTAAACGTATTTGCCCCTTCTTTTTCGGTCAGTTGTAGTCAAAATTTAGTGAGTTAAACCCACACATCCTCATTTTCATTCTACAATTTTTAGGAACCGAATGCTTTTTATCGCCTAGTAATATTGTTTTAAATATCTTAGGGTTGTAACCGTAAACAGTTATAAAAACCTGTTAAACAGTTGAATTCTTAACTTCGTTTACATTACAAATAACCTATTCATTATTGACGCTTCATTTTTCGAATTGAACATTATACTAATAATTGGTTGTGGTGAAACATAGCTTGTATGTCGCTGATGAGGAGGCAACGGGATTCAATAAATTCATTGTATTCCGCAAATGTTTTCGCGCTTGTTTTGTTCATAGTAGTATATTTTTATTGACATTCAACCTGTACAAGAGGTTAATCATCTAACATTTCTGAATTTCATATATTTTCCATTAGATGGTATATTTGCAGAGGTATCACTTATAGGAAAAGTTTACTGTATACACGGTGGTGTCATTTTTCCATCATATTTTTTGGTAAAGTGAAGAAATGCAAACTTTTCACTCATTTTAATAAGGTACACTAATAGAAAAGCAGGGTTTCTATCATATTTCCGTTAGCTTTTTATACGAAAGTGCTTAATTCAACAGTCATTCGCTATAATGACTTCATGAAGTAAACAGAAAATGAATATATTACTATGTTGTATGATGTGTCAGTGACTGACATTCTCAGCACGGATACAAAAATCTTGTTGTTGATGATGATCAGTGATGCTAATAATCACTTGTTTATTGCCAATTTAACTACATTCTTATTAGGGGTCTCCAAGTAAAATAATAACAAAACAGCATCACAACTGGTCAGTAGAGTAGATTTTCTCTTCAGTAAAACAGTGCGCTAAAATACAAAAAAATAAAATTAAAGATAATTCGAAGTAATTTTATACGTAAGTGATAGGAGATTTCAGGTTTCGTAGATCGCTAGCATAGCATTGAAATTGTGATTGAAGTGCTAAATTGGATTCTTGACAACTATATCAATGTATATGTATGAACTCTACCCAAAAGAAAATCTGTTACTTCTGTTTAACTGATGCTGACTATGAAACAGTCATAAGTAAATTCTTCAAAACTCAATGCTTTTGTTAATTAGTTACAATAATGTACTTCATTTCGTTTGTAAACTAATGCTTTAGCAGATATGGCATAAACGACTTTGCTATTATTTTACATGTAAGTATTTAATCCATTATTATACTACTATTTGACTCTATGTAATCTGTCCATTTTATAGCTTCCTGAACTAAATGTAAAACTTGGTCAAGTGGCGAATATTATCCTGCAAAATAATATGAATCAAAACATGACCTCAAAAGATTCTCATAACAAAGCAAATTTAGGGAATCAATATCTTCTCGTCGATCTTACCGGCAGACCTGAACTTTTTGTTTCTGCTCGAAAGGCAGTAATTGCCTTTTTAGATCCATGTAAAGACGGTTCTGGGGAAAGCAGAGTTCAAACAGTTAGTCAATGTGCATTTACCATACAATTAAATACTGTTATTACCAAGGAATCTCGTCAAAGAGCCCTGGCTCAAGGTTAGTCTAGGTCCAAATTACTCATCAATAGGTAGCATAAAAAACTATGTTAACAGAATTGTGAATATTATATTTTTACCTTATTTAGTCACGTATACTAAACGGTCCCCAAATGTCTTGGTATTGCCAAAGGTGAAGAGTCCGCCCTCCCTGTCACTCGAAGTACTCTCATACAACCACTCGTTTATAGCCGCTGCCACAAAAGTCACACTTCGCTGTTTTCTTGCGGCGGGGATTTCGCTCACGAAATTAAGTGGACAAAAAGCTAACGTTCGGCTTTTAAACCAGGTTGGTGGGTAGACTCACTTAGGCGAGTTGCCCCCAAATGCCCTGGCACGGCCGAGAGTGGAGAGAGTCCGCTCTCCCTCTCGAAATGCTCTCATATGGCCACGCGTATAAAGCCTCTTCCAGGGATGTCCTACTCACTGCCTTCTCGTGGCAGGGGTGTTGTTTACGAAATTAAGAGGACGAAAGACGAATATCCGGCTCTTTAACCGGGTTGATGGACATGGAAAGTCCACCTAGGAGAGTCGGAAAATCCTGATTCCAAACCAATAGTACACGCGGGCTCCACTATCCTGAGGGAACAGATGGCGTATGAACCAATTGTCGATCACCGGCTACTATGGGACTGCATCTGCTCACGATGCTCCACAGATTCAGTGATAATCACAATTGGAAAGAAATATGATTTCTTCAATCCTGATTCCCGTGAACTAAACTCACAACTATTTGGTAACGTTCGTTCTTATTCTACATTGCGTCAATTGTCTATTCCCTTTCATTCTTACCCTGGGTTTTGGTTTATTATTAACTTATAAAGCAACTTGCCTATGGTGGAAATCTTGTCCTATTTGAAAGATCTAAAGTCACAATAGTCGAAAGTTGAATGCCGTCACCGAATACAAATTCTGAATCATCCTTTCTGAAACCACGTATGTCATTCAAACAGGCCTCCCTCAACGTTTTCACACATACAGATCGGACGCCAGCTAGAGTTGGTCATGTCTTCGGAAAGTTTTGAGGTCAATGTCCGCTGTCTATCCGAGACCCTTATTCAAGAATCTGATGAAGTCCTATAGATTAGCTCTCCATCTGTGGCTTCAAACTCAGCGCTACAGGCACCAATAATCGATTAGATCCCCATCAACGGTCGATTATGCGCTATTAGATTAGAAAGCTTCTTCAAAGTAAGAAGTCGGTATAAGAAGTGATGATTTTTCGTTATCTCCACATACGCCCCGACAGATTGCTACCCGGATACAATCAAAATGAGTCATAACACCAACCAAGTGACCTCCAGAAAGCCTGTTCGACAGATACTGTAGTACCGAGTGGGGATTTGAATGTACAGGTTGGGTGTCCAGGCAAAGGACAGAGTCGTTTGTGTAGCCTATGGGAACCTGTTGGTTGTAGGTCGGATAACGGTGACTGTCTACTCAAACTTTGGGCAGACTACCTGTTCCTAGTTTTCACTAATTATCGGAAAAGCGATCTCTGATGCGTTGTGTGGCGTCCTCCCACTACATATCAAGCCTAGAACCAGATTGATCACATCGCGATCAGCTACCGTTTGCATGGTCGTGTATAAAACTGCTACTCCTTTTGGAGTGCTGATATGGTCTCGTTGAGACATGTTGGTCTTCTCTTGATTGCCGCGAGTTTGACTATAAAAGAGATTGTTACCTGATGAAATTTTTCAAAACTTATGTAAGAACCTAGAAAGCTGATGATCGGATCGTATTAACGAGTTGGAAGCAGCAGATACATCTGGTAACTACCGGAAGCTCTCTAAACTCATTCAAGACTCTGGTAACAAGAGGTCTGAGGTGATTGAAACAAACTGTGAAGCTGGTAGGATGCCAGTCAACATCTACCGACGTCTTAGACGATGGGCAGAGTTCTTCAAGGAACCGTTCAGCTGGTTTGCTACTCCAGCGACATCAATCAGACTGTTCTTCTCCCCATGGGTGGTGACGAATAGTTCACGTAACGAAGCGAGAGTATGCAAGTAACTTCAACTTCCGAAGCGCCACAAATCACCAGGCCCAGATGACTTACCTCCGGCCCTTTCTAAAGGTGAGGGCGACCTTTTGGTTAAGGAATAGGCCTAACTGTTTACAAAGATTTAGCAATTAGAGAGTGTTCCAACATCACGGAATGAGTCTATAGTTGTCCCTATCTTTAAAAAGGGTTCACGTTGTTTCTGTAACAACTAACGGGGCATAAGTCTACTTCCGATTGCATCTAAACTATTGGCTTCACGAGGAGCAGACTGGTTTTCGTGCTTTCTACCTTTCAAGTACAAAGTGTTTTTACGAGACTGGGAGGACTCTGATTGTGCACTCACCCTGGTTAGTGAGGAGATAGAAGCAGTTGAGAAGTTCGTGTATCTGGATATCTGTGTAAATGCTGGTGTTTGCTTGAATGATGAGATCAATTCACGTATAATGAAAGCCAGAGAGGCCTATGCCAATCTGGTCTATTTTTAGCTCCTTTGTGATATTAGTCTAGTTGTGAAAGGTCGTGTCTACAATTCAACAGGGCTCAGTTTTACTCTATATTTTGAAAACGTGGCCTCCAATTTGAGAATGTCCAGCGATTCTCTGTTTGACCATTGTTGCTTTCCTAGGATAATAATAATTATTATTAACCAATTTCACTGATTTCGTTACTAGAAAGGTTCCAAACGTCTGTTTTTCAGCCTTCTAAAAAGTACTCCTTTGCAAATATGTATGAAAAAGTTAAAACTATTATTTGTATATGAGGTGTTGACCAAAATTATTATGATATTGAATTATTTATCAGTTAACAAGTACATGATTTCTCTGATAAATAAACGGACAAATATTATAAAGGCTTTATTCTGCCAAATTTAAGGTACACTAGTCTTATCCTTGTCAAAATAATTGCTGCTTGTAGCACTACACGTTTTCTGTCTTCGTTTTCATTGTCCGCAATATCTCTCAATTTTCTCAGAAGTTAGACTTCTTAGCTATATTATTGTTACATGTTCGCTAAAATCCTTTGGCCCACTTGCGCTCACTGCGCGTCATTCCGATGCGCTTCGCTTCGTTTCTTTGATTGTCCGGATCAGCGATTGTATGAAATATACGTATTCGAAATCCATTTTCGTATTTGACTTGTTTAATTCTGTTATTCACTATCACTATTAAAGTCGATAATCATATACGAGGGTAGCCGGGATATATATTTCGAAAGCAATCATCATACGATATAACCGGAGTCAGGTATCAAACCACCAAAGACGTACGCTTTTTCCAAATTCAGTTAATTGCAAATGGTTGGATAGTTAATTGCTTACTAGAAGGCATACGTTCAACATTTTCATGGCAAGTCGGCATTGGTCCTAGCTTTACATCACTCTTGTATCTTTTATGGGTCTCATTCAAACAGTTGCTACATCTGAAAAGAGCTATTTTCTTCATTGAGTTATCCCCATAAATAGCACTTACCATTTTATGAATTCTCTGACAGTTTTTTCTAAGTTTCATCGAAAACCATGAGAACCCAACCTGTACTTATTCTACAGACCTTGAATGGATGATCAATGATAAACAGCGGAGATGAAGAAACCATTACTGATTCACTTCTACCACATCGTAACAGGCATAATGAAATCAGCTGCAAATGCCAAACGTTCAAGGTATAGAAAAAGCGAGTAAAGTGATTAATTATAACTGGAAAAATATTAATTAGGTGAACTAATAAAATATAGAACAGACGTTTGACTAACTTGCTGAACATGGACATCAAAAACATACCACGAATTAACAGTTACTGATTAGTATCATATACATATATAATACATTTGATTAAGAAGAGTTTTAAGATTTCTGATGATGAACATGCCTGAAATCATGAAAATAAATAGGTAAAATGCTAACAAGCAGATGATATAAAACAATACAATATGACCGATTAATAACTGTTCTGAGTAAATCAGTTTAGATAGACATAACAACTAGCCGTCAGAATAGGTTTCTAATCTCCGGTAAAATTTCTTTCACGTGTATCGAATAAATAATCATCGCATGAATAAACATGATCAGTAGTGTCGTTTAAAACATAAACCATTTCAGGATGCATGTTCTGTAGGTCACTCATACACATGCCAATGAAATTAAGATCTAAGTAGTCAGGCTTAATTCTCTCCTCACCACATCAGTAAAATTGGTTTGGTTGAAGTTATACATTAACACCATTGGATGCCGGTCAGCTCAGTGGTCTACAAGTTAAGCATTCACTCAAAAGACCGACAGGCCTGGGTTCGAATCTCGCGAGGCAGGATCGTGGATGCGCACTGCTGAGGAGTTCCACAATAGGACTAAACGGCCGTCCAGTGTTTCCAGGTTTTCCCTGGTGGTCAAGCTTCAATTGACTCATGATTTCAACTATAAAAATATTGAAATCTTCACAAAACCCCTTCTGTTTGTAAAAAATTTCATCGAGCATCGTATTTTCTTTTGTCACTTTTGTTTTCTACTTCCTTTTTTTCTTCATTTTATCTAAACAATATTGTATCATCAAATAGGACATGAATTATTACATCAGACAATTCATGAAATGGATAAAATTTGTCATGCTCATAATAAATTATTAAATTCCAAAGAAGCTAAAGAAAAATTAAGTGAAGATGATCTATTCATGGCTCGTGAATATCTACGCACAGTTGTTAAGGAACAACATAAATTAGCTGAATCAATGTGGAATCCGAAAAAAATTGAATTAGAAGGTGAAAAGTGAATTCGTTTATATTATTTCGAAGTTGCCTGTACATAATTTCTCAATTATAACCAACTTTTAATACATAAATATATGTATATTATGTAACTAATATGATTGGATTCTCTAAAATAGTTTTTTTAATGTTTTGGGATCTTTTATTAGTGGTTTGTAATATAAGTATCAATGTTTTTGATGGAGTTTTATTCTCTGAGCCGGATGGTTTGGTCATGGAGCTTTTATTGTCCTTCTTAACAACATTGTCAGCACAAACTTCAGATAGGAGTTTGAAGTATTCGAATTTCTTCACATATAACTCATTGGTTGTTCTGTCAACCCCATATGCAAATTCTTCTATTCTGATCTTAGCAAATAGTCTCTGAAAGTCATCATCCGCCTTCCTCTTGTATGCACATTTCTGGTTTCTCTAAATGTAAGATGGAAGCTTGCGTAATAAAAGGAGACGAGAGCTTACTCATCTAATCAGTGGTTCGAACGATTAGCCAGTTATTACCAAATAATGCTTGTCCACAAGGTGTTCAATTGTTGAACTTATCGTTGTTTTATTTCTGTGTCATTCCAACTATTTCGAATAATGTTTCTGAACTGCCTTTAATAGACCGCTAACCAAATGACTTATAGACATTAAATAGGAATAATGTATATTTGTAAAATCTCAGCGAATGAATTTGTAGTGAATCCAACGTTTCGTCTGGCAATCTAGTCCAAGCTTTTTCAAGGAATTATAATCAAACATCAAAATTATCGACTTATATATATATATATATATATATATATATATATATATATAGCTCCTAAGTGACAAGTGGATTGATGAGTGAAGGATTTTATTCTTCAGATTGCTGATAAATATAAGTTGACTGGAGATCATTAACTTCAAGGTTGATAAGAAGAATATTCCTTTGAAAGAGTTGGAGATGCTCATCTTGTAGATATTTTCAGTTTCGTCACTTGTGAAATCGATGCTCATGTAAAACATTTTATATGCCACACAGGTTATCGAATCCTTAAGATCTAAACTTTAAATTCTTGTTTATAGATCTTGACGGATATTCATTTTCGATATGTACTTCTCTTTGAAGTTTTAAATCTTTCTTCGTCTTTAACACACTGCGAATGTGTTGGATATAGTAGTGATATCAGTCCTTAGTGATGCAACATTCACATATTCTAAACAATCTGTGTAGTTATCTTAGTAGAGTATTCTTGAAAGATTCTGACAGTATACAGTTAGGTCCGCGTGTTTTGTGGATTTTTCAACTACCGTTTCGATCAATATCAACTAACTATGAAAAAAATTTTACTCGAAGTTACTAGGGCTACAGGATAGACAAACTGTATTTTCAAAATGCTGCGTTCGACGCTTCTGAATGTTAACGACTATGCTACCGGTTGTCTCATTAACACTATACTTTATGGTCCTGGTGTCTCCAATTAATTGAAAGAGCTTCCGTTGGTTGTCAATTCTTACATAATATATTGTAAATCAAAGTCTCATACACTAATGTGAACTTGACTGTTACGTTTGAAGCAAAAGTTAGTTGAGAGAGTAAGAGCGTGTGTTAGTATTTTAACATTTTAGTAGTTCACGTATAATATTAAATAGGCTAAGAATCAATGTCAGATAAGTTGATCATGTTGATATTTGAAGAGTGATTCTATATGTCCAGTGATAAAAGGTCTAAAAACAAGAGTCCTTATTTCGCTACAAGTCACTACAAGATTTTATTGTATTTAATTAAATAAAGTAGTTATATTAAGGAAAACAACTTTGAATGGTATATTGCAGTGTGATTTCTATCAACTGTTGACCAACTGAACAACCAATGAGAAGAATAAAGCATTGAATAAATGTTCCATTCCATTTTTATACTCTTCAACAGTGTACACATTTAGGTCTCGTGGTAACTACAACAACATTGAATAACTGGATCATACTTGAGTGATTGACTTCAATCAAATCTTACGTCTTACTTGATTAATTGAAAGATAAATCTCATTTACACACTGAAAACACGAAGTTGAACGAAGGGATCTCTTCAACGAATTCATTATTAAGCTGTACAATCGTATGCATATGTGAATCCTTTTTGTCAAAGTACTAGTTTCCTGAGGACATGTGAACAAGGAATAATCATGATGATGTAATCGAAAGATTATAATACTAAATTGCATTATTTTATTTATTTTATTTAAACACAAATATTGGTACTAGGAAGCACCAGATACATATGCGCCGCACAAATCTCATTTGATTTGTGTGAGAGGTGTGATACTGCCCAGGTGCCCAAACCGAAACAGGTGATTTTCTTCGGGGGCCACACCCAGAGCCTTTGACCTAAAGGTCTAGTCCACAAGGCAGTAGAGCATCGTGATGAAATTCAGTCCCATGGTAGCCGGTGACCAACAATGGGTTCATACGCCATTTGTTCCGTCAGGATACTGGAGCCCATGTGCACCATTGGTTTGGAATCAGGATTTTCCAACTCCCTTAGGCGAACTTTCCGTGTCCACCAACCCGGTTAAAGCGCCGGGTATTCGCTTTTCGTCCTCTCAGTTTCGTAAACAACACCCGTGGTGTGAGAAGGCAGTGAGTAGAACTTCCGTGGCAGAGGCTATATATGCGTGGCCATGTGAGACCATTTCGAGAGGGAGAGTGGACTCTCCTCACTCTCGGCCTTACCAGGGCATTTGGTAGCAAAAGCAAATAAAGTGATATCCTCAGCAATCATGAATAAAATAATGAGACATAAGTAAAGGGAAGAATGTCATAATAATAATAATAAATTCAGGCCGATGTAAAGATAACGATAGTACGTACTTCTTTCGTACACATAATTCTGGCTTGAGCTCATGAATAGTAAAATCTTCGGCTATTTTTATGAGTTGGATACGAGGAAATCTAGTTAGACCTGGACGAATCGTATATACCACTTTGAAATCAAACTGTGGATCAGTAGAATGATTACAGTCGATTAGATGTTCATCTATGGGGCTTCTATAACATTTTTCCTATAACCCTTGTAGAACTGCACTGGGAAATGTTCCCGTATCCTAGTTGATTAAGTCTATGGATTATAGTTGATCAATATTTTCCGTTCATACTGAAAATCGTTTTAAACAAATTTAAAAAAAGTATTCATGTATAAAACTATTTAAATTAATGATGAAGTGATTTAGTCACATTAGAGCATAATTAACTTTATGTTTATACATGAAATACAAGTATCAATCAGAATATAGTAAGAAATAATACGGTACGATATCCGTTTTAGTTTTAAATATTTTTCTTACCATAAATTAATGATCAAAATTTGGGCTGGAATCACTTTGTTTCACACTGGGTAGTTTCAGTTCTCGCAAAAATAATGTCTTAGTCTTCTAACTAGAGGGCTTCCCATGACTGCCAAGATTCAAAAAATGAACTAGATATTGGATATAGTCATATTGGATAACATCACCCACATGAATGCTAACTCCATTCTCATTCATAATTTCAAAGTGTTTTACAATATTTCAAATAGTTTACAGGCTTAGATAGCAATATGAACCACAGTTAATACTAAATTCACTTAGTATTGTTTGTTTGAATCTTCCCATCGATGTGTTAGGAATGCAACTGGTCAGTCTCTAATTGGCATATGTGCGTATTGCCTCGATATAGCCTTAATTCATAAGCATGGTAAGAAAAGTTGGATAGTGGCTAGTAGTGTAATCCAGGACGCGCGTTTCGTCCTGTTTGGGACTGGTCAGCTGGATGCACCTACATCTCAGAGTTGATGTTCACTCTGGGACTCGAATCCAATACCTTTCGCTTCGAATGTCATCGGGTTATCCACATTGACAGCCACTTTTGGCTTGATCTTGTATAATTGATATTTTTTAATTCATAGTGTTTTGAGGTCTGGTTCGCTTGTATATAAACTGCGTATATCTGAAATATATGATTCATACAGTGGAAGCTAAGATTGTGTTGTGGACTGAACAGTGAGAACGAGGCATAATGAACCAATAAGGACTCAGAATAGACTGTAGGCATTCCGTATTAGTTAACACATCATTGGTTCCTCACAGTGCCAAGGTCATGTAAGCTGGTAGCCTGTGATGCAAGCTATAAGCTAATATCAACCAGTTTGAAACGAACGGTACCGGGTTCGAGTCCCAGTGTGAACATCAACTCTAAGATGCAGGTAGATCCAGCTGATAAATCCTACGCGGGACGAATTGCACGTTTTAGATTCCACTGCTAGTCACCATTCATCTTTGCTTATTATCAGTTTTAGTTCTTAATATATTTTTCTACAGTAGAACCTTATACAAAACTGTTTAATAGTTATGTAACCATAGTAACTTGTACTTTTTAACCAAGTAAAGTAAGTAATTTAATATTCTATTGTTTTATTGTTTAAATAACTATGAATTGTTTGTATTATTTGTTGCTGTTGTTGTTATTGTTTAGTTCTCTGTATAAATACATGATCAACCTGTAAATATACCTATACCATCAATTTGAATTCTATCTATCTTAGTTTATTTCCTAAAAGAATCTAATGTATGATGATTGAATTAGAAAGACGAAAACCTTTCACTGATTTACAAATTAAAAATCGTTTATCAAAATTGCCGGTTTTTGAACAGGTTAGTTAATAGTTTTATTTATTATACATGGAGATGATATTTCAATGTGTTCTTGAATGAATTTTATAAAGATACGATTTGGTGATGTTGTCGAACATAGATAGACCACCATGGAAAACCTGGAAGCATTGGACGGCCATTTCGTCCTATTGTGAGACTCCTAAGCAGTGCGCATCCATGATCACACCTGACGAGATTCCAACTCAGGACCTATCAGTCTCGCGCGCGAGCGCTTAACCACTAGACCACTGAGCCGGTCGGCATCCAACGGTGTTAATGTCTAACTTTAACCAGTTCACAAAATTGAGCAACTATTCATCAATGTCTTCAGTGAGTTGATATCTCCCAACAGACCTTTAGAACTCCACTGGTCACTGCTTCTCACTAAAATTTCAGGAATTACCTCATGGAGCCAGCCACTAGTGAGCATATAATCATTATCAGAAGAGGGTTTTGTGTAGATTTTACTAATTTTATATGGTTGAAATCATGAGTCAATTGAAGTTAGACCACCATAGAAAACCTGGAAGCAAAAAGATCGAAATTGTGTTGTTAGTGAGGATCAATCTTTGAATCAAACAATAATCCATTTGTAAGCAAATATGGTTAGTGGCTAGCAGTGGAATCCAGGAGGCGTGACACTTCGTCCTATTTGGGACTGGTCAGCTGGATGTACCTGCATCTCAGAGTTGATGTTCACTCTGTGACTCGAACCCAGCAACTTTCGCCTCAAACGGGATCTTGTTATCCACTCAGCTACTGAGTCCTGATAGCCACTTGCTTGTGCAATCGGGTGCAGTTTAAATTCACTTAGTATAATCCATTTGTATTTTATATTGTATTCTAATGTTTACATTAGTATTGATCTACTTCATATCAGTAATATAATTTTTATGGTTTTGGTTAGTTGTATTTTTAATGGTTGGTATAGCAGACAGCAAAGTTTCTTAGTTTCTATGTAGCACTTTGTATTCATAGATAGTATTATGACCATTGGTTAGATTAGGATTACACAAGTGTCGTAATAAAAATAGCATTCCGATTACCTTACTGTCCTTATTTCTTATGTGAATTATTATTGAGAATCTATATTCTTAGTTTTTATAGCTAAGTTGAACTACCATAGCAACTATCCACTCAATAGCTTTGGAATTTACTCTGAATGTCAATGATAATAACGTAGGTTTTGAAATGGTGGAGAAGATTTGTAGCTCAGGTGGGTGATTCTGATGTAGGTTTGTTCTCTGAGCTAGAGCTAAAGCTTGGAGAACAAACCTACATCAAAATAACGTAGGTTTTTATGGCATAATTAGTTAAAAACTAACAAAATTCAAAGTGAGTATTTTTATTCTCGATCAGTTCTGCTTAATGAGTTTTACCCGAATATTTAATTCGTTGTAATTCTTCAATGGATATAAAGGTTCGACAGGTAAGCTTAAGCATTAAATGGTACTGATGACTGCATTCTAAATAAAATGTACAAGTGGATTAACAAATTTCTATGATTACTGAAGACTAGATATTTTAACACGGATTACTAACTTGTGACTGGTTGATACAAGCTTATAGCTTGCATCACAGACTGATCCTAGTTAGATAACGGATGAAAATCATGAAACGCTTAACATTTGTTTCGCCCTAATATGAAACTCTTCAGCCGTACGTATCCACGATCCCACTCAATGCTCTGAAGATTAGGCGTTCGTCACAAAATCTGAAGGTCTTGGACGTGATTGTATTCGGGGTCCAGTGTTCCTCTGTTTTCTTTTGTTTTCTAGGATGAGTCGGAGACACGAACTGATTTCAACAATCTTCAAAAATAGAGTGTAGTAATGATCATTAGGGTCTATCAGGGATAGTAAACATTTGCACATTGTCGGTCAGCGATGATGGCGGACTAACACTGAGTTATTTTTGTTGCTCAAAGTAGTTAGAAAGAATCGTTTTAACTAGAAGTTAACACACAGATTTATTCCTACTTCATGGATCTCTATCTTTTACAAATGTTTCTAGATGGCTATTTTATTTCCACATATTAAGTTAGATTGTTTTTTTCGAATTACAGATCAGAGGGGGTTTTGTGGAGAATTTAGTTTTTTCATAGTTGAAATGAGTCAATTGAAGCTAGAGCACCATGGAAAACGTGAAAGCACTGGAAGGCCGTTTCTTCTCATTATAGGACTCCTCAGCAGTGCGCATCCAATTTACGTTTCATTTTTTATATTTTTTCGAATTACATTAATTTTTAATTTAGCATTTATTTAGTCGCTACTTTGTTCTTCAGTTTGATTTCCTTCGTGGGTCTGATATTCTACTAGAAAAAGAATCTGAAATCACACTTTATTTATATCGTAAGCTAAGAGGGGATTTGGATAGCCTTCTGGTAAATATTAAAAACGAATTATCTGCTGATGTGGAAACTGAAGTTGTTGAGGGTAAGTTAATAATGCTATTGACAAACTACTTAATACAAAAATAAGTACTAAGAGTCTGGTTCTGTGTTATCAAATAGATTCAATTCAGTAAATGGGCTATAAGTCGATTTCTAATGCAAATACTTAGCTTACTTCAAAAGTTGAATACTAATGAGAGATTATTTCTCGTGAAACTTTTCGTCATCTACATATTAGGAAGTTTACAGTTCTTAAAGTTAGTAAACGAAATCTTATTAATCAGCGATAAACAAAGTGTGTAACTTCAGAAGGGTCTATCAAGTCGAAACATAACGTCCTCATCGTTCATAAGTAATCGCTTTCCTGATTTTATAACAAATATGAACCAAACCAATTTTGTACTTTTTCGTAGTAAATATCCTTAAAGAATATTTCGAAAATTTAGAATACCAGCTGGAATTATAAGCAAAGATGGATAGTAGCTAGTAGTGGAATCCAGGATTCAGGTTTCGTCCTATTTGGAACTTGTCAGTTGGATGTACCTACATCTCAGAGTTGATGTTCACTCTGGGACTCGAACACAGTACCGTTTGCTTCAAACGCCACCGCGTTATCCACTCAGCTACTGAGTCCTGATAGCCAATTGCTTGTGCACATATGCCAATAAGAGACTGGCCAGTTGCAGTTCTACACATCAATAGGAAGATTCAAACAAGAATTACTTAGTGAATTTAAACTTCACCCTATTGCACATGCAAGTGGCTATCAGGACTCAGTAGCTGAGTGGATAACGTGATAGAGTTTCAAGCGAAATTTGCTGGGTTCGAATCCCAGAGTGAACACCAACTCTGAGATGCAGGTACATCCGGCTGACCAGTCCCACATAAGACGAAGTGTTGCGCCTCCTGGATTCTACTGCTAGCCACTATCCATCCTTGCTTATAATCTTGATAATAAGCTGCAATCTTGTCTAACAATCACCGTAAATAGCTTTCTATCCTTATTTTCAATTTAAGCTTACCAAGACTTAATACAATCATGAGCAGTCACATTTAGTGATTCGGGAATAGAAATCAATAACAGGTGGGGAAACCACATACTTAATAGTCAGTAGACTAAGTGCTTAGTTTTCCAAGCTCAACGATCAATCATATTTTACATTCACTACCATATATCACCTTTAAAACCAACAATGTTTTTATACAGATAGATTGTTAACATGAAAACTACAATTCCGTTAGTTGTCTGAAGGTAGTTGTCCAAAGAACCATTAATCAAGGTTTCATAATTCTTTTTTCTGGTTAGCTCTTTTTAGCGAGTTAGTTTTTCTATGGGATGGAGTCGCTAACCCCATGCCAAACCCTCCTCCTTTACCCGAGCTTGGGACCGGCGGTAACTCTAGAAGAGCTACAGGCGGAGTTTAGGTTTTATAATATTTAACCATTTTTTTTTTAGCAAAACGTGCCTTTTTGCTTGAAAGGAACTGATAACCTACAATTCATTTATTATTTAATTTTCTTTATTTTTCTTGGATAGAAAAACCGTTACCCTTCGACACCACAACGAAAATTGGTAAAAAGTTAGCAGATATTGCTCAAGTGTTCATTGGAAATTTGAAACGATCGAAAGAGACCAGTCCTGCTATTGAAGATCGTGTTAAATCAACGACAGAAAAAAAAGAATTAGGAAAGTCGACAAGGTATTGTTATATTATGTAATTAGTAGGAGAGTTTTGGGGTTAATATTAATTGTGATTCCTGGAGTTCTAGGGAGAAGCTGTGACCAGTTGTGTTAGAAAATATCTGGTGTAAGACAGCTATCTACTTGAGTCAATGCAAGTTGATCTAATAATATCGTGAATTACTTGAAATTACACTTGTACATCATTGGATGTCGACACTGTAGTTTAGGGGTTAAGAGTTTTCTGGAAAACTGAGTTCTGCATTCGACCCTCTCCGGGTCGTGGATGTGCAACAATAAGGAGTCCCATGCAAGAATAAAACGGTTGTCTAGCGAATCTCGGTTTCCAGTGATTGCTTAATTAAGATCAGTCAGTGACATAAAATAGGAATATTATCCAATTGTCAGTTGCTTATGTATTCGTAAGAACATAAATAAAACAATCATTTTGTAGTATACAAAGACTTGGTCTCCAAATGACTTGTTACGGCCGAAGATGGGGAAAGTCAGCTATCCCTCTCGAAATACTCTAACATGACCATGCATATGCATCCGCTGCCAGGAAATTCCTAATCACTGCCTTCTCGTGGCGGGGGGGGATGGTTTACGAAACTGAGAGGACGAAAAGCGAATATACTGCGCTTTAAACGGGTTTGTGGACACAGAAAGTCCACCTAGGGGAGTTGGGAAACCCTGATTCCAAACCAATGGTGCACATGGGCTCCAGTATCCTGAAGGAACAAATGGCGTATGAACCAATTGTTGGTCACAGGCCATCATGGGACTGCATCTCCTGACGATGCTTCACTGCTTTGTGGATCGGATCTTTAGGTCAAAGGCTCCAGGTGTGACACCCTTTAAGAAAACCACCTGCTTCAGTTTGGGCACCTTGGAGGTATCATAGCCCACACGCAAATGTCTAACTTCAACCAATCTACGAAATTGTGCAACCGTCCACCATTGTCTTCAGTGAGTTACTATCTCACAACAGAACTGGTTGAAGTCCACTGCTCACTGATTCTCACTAGAACTCCAGGAAATACCTCTTGAAGCCAGTTACTAGTGAGCATAATATTATTATTATTATCGGAAAGAGTCTTGTGTAGATTTTAGTAATTTTATATAGTTGAAATCATGAGTCAACTGAAGCTAGACCACCATGTAAAACCTGGATGCACTGGACGGTTGTTTCGTCCTATTAAGGCACTACTCAGAAGTTTTAATCAATGATATATCTATTAATGATCGTTGTATTGTAGTGAACAAGAACACAAGTCGGGACAATCGAATGTAATTGAACACAAATTACAGAAAATCTTAGTAAAATCTGAGAACCATACAGCAAATACTTCATTTGCAAAATATCAATCACTCGTCTCAGACTTCATCGTTGTTTTGCTTCCACACTAATCATTCTCTGTTCTCGTTCGCATTTCTTTGATCTTGTCAACTTTCTGTTGCCAAGTTTTCACTTTCAATTCATGGTACCTACTAATTATATCTGTCGATATCATTAGCATACACCACAGTACGACATAATAAGATAAAATGTTAAAGTTGGAATGAAATGTAATCAGAAAGAATATAGAAATAGAAATAAGTCGGTTACTGAGTAAAAATTTCATACAGAAAAAAGATAGAGAGGAGTGTGATTGATTTGGAAAAATCCCTTTTTATCTTTGTCAATACAGCTACTCAAGTGAAATTAAGAGATTCTGAATATACGTTTATGTTAAATGAATAATGTTATAACTTGTAGCCTGTGTGCCCTGTTAATGTATAACATGATAATACCGGCAATTAGATAGCAGTGATTTATCGGATAGGATTAATGACGCATAAAACCCGTACGAGCAATCTAGAGTAATTATCGGTCCTGCTTTCCACCTCCTAGCCCAGCCAGTTGAGTCTAGAACACCAATCGCAGCCTCTGCGGTATGAATGCTTTATTTCAAACATACTGGGTTTATATACTAATCAAACAGACCACAGTGTACCATAAAATAGGAAACAACATTTGTACAAGGTTTAGTCAAATGTGACTTTGAATGTAAGAGACAGTAATTAATCGACTGGGGATAACTCCATATTGGTAAATCGTATAATAATAGTTCATAGGTCAAGATGAAGCTCATAATAAGGGGGATAGGAATATGAATAGTTTAGTTACTTAACAATCATAAGACAAAAGATATATGCATAGTATTGTTCCATAAATGGATCCCAAAAGTTACCATACATTATTCTTATCGAGCTATAACAAATTATGAGATTGATTTATTCACACTTCCTTTTTTTCTAGAGAAGTAAAGCCTATTCGAGACCAGAGGGCTACCAGAATTAAAAAGTCTGGTAAATTCGCAAATTTAGTGTGAGTTTTCATTTATATAAATTTTGATTTTTTTATAGCTGTGTAGTTCTAGTTTGAGGGTTACGATACTAGCTAAAGATCCGATTATAGACTTATCAGTGGCGATAGGAAGAACTACAATGAGTATTTCTTTGGAGCGACTAGCAGCTTATATGGAGCGTCAAGAATAACGGTTTCAACAGTCTCAAATTAGAATCATCGAAGCCATTATGCAGAAATTATGCATGTCCAAACAAAACTCTGCTTCTGGTGAATTACAAATATCCCATCCCCGTCGATAGTTGTTATATCGATTGCATGCGTCTGTGCCCTGTTAATATATATGAACCTGCTGATTCCCGCCAATGAGAGAGGAAAGAATTATCGATGGTGAGACTATGATTTATGGACGATCTTTGAGCGACATCGAAGTGACTTTGAGAGTGAACATTTACTAATTAGGATTAAATCAGGGTTATAAACTAGTGTGAAGAATTACAACTATGATTTACAATTGATGATTAAGGTTAAAACATAGATTCAAGGTTTTCATCATGAACTGACATCAGCTAGTAATAACGAAAATCTATTTAACCAAATTTATGAATGAATTTCGCGCCAAAATTCAAGACTTGTTATCTTATATCTGATTGGTTCGTCCATAAATTATAGTCTCGCCTACAGATTCAAAGTATACACTTTCAAGATTGTGGATACTAATTGTAGCTTATGTGAATAATTTTGGTTCAGTTTCATTTTATGAGCGCCATCATTCGTACAAATGTCACGGAGAATTGATCTATTCGTACTATGTTGATTATATTGTCCAGAAGAATAGTGAAAGCTTCATGACTAGATCATCCAACTCAGAGAATGAAACTTCACTGAGATATGAATTCCATATGTAAGGATAATCATAAAGAACTCAAGAGAGTAGATATTATTATACACGTTAATAATAATGGGTACTCATGAAGAATAAAAAGGGAAAAATACACCCTTAGATCTTAATAATAAAGCTAGAATTCATCAACAGACTCTGGCTTTATGTATATTTCATTTATTTTCTGATATAATAAAAGAGTAAAAAATGCTATTATGATACAACCGGTGATTGAGATTATTCTATCACTGAACTGGATACTTGATATCAATATACTATTCATATACTGCCTAACATTAAACCAGATAAATGATTGAAGATCAAATATAGAGAACTAAGGAGTAAGCTAAACAGTACATTATTCATTGAGCTACATTAGTAATGACTGACCTCATCCTATTTAGTCTGATATAATAACAGTTTTCTAAGTTTTTTTTTTCAGTCATCATTCAATACTCTTATACTTTGATAATCATTATTTTATATAGTTGAGATCATGAGTCAATTGAAGCTAGACCACCAGAGAAAACCTGCAAGCGCTTGATGGCTGTTTCGTCCTATTGTGAGACTCCTCAGCACTACACATCCACGATCCCTCCCCACAAAATTCGAACCCAGGACCTATCAGTCTCACGGCCAGAGCGCTTATTCTCTAGACCACTAGGTTCAAACCTCGCAAGGCGAGGTCGTGTATGCTCACTGCTGAAGAGTCCTACAATAGGACGAAATGGCCATCCAGCAATACCAGGTTTTCCTCGGTGGTCTAACTTCAATTGATTCATGATCTCAACTATATAAAATAATAAAATCTCCACAAAACCATCTTCTGATAATTATTTTTTTACAAAATACATTGTAGTATCTCACTAAAAGATACAAAACAACCTCCTGTTATTCAATCAAAACAAATTCTTGAATTGCCAGAACATGAACAAGATAGAAAAGCAAGATCATATTTAAGAGAAAAATTATTTGATGATTTAGGTGAAGCATCTAGAAGAGAACAAGTTAGTTCATTTTAATGGTTATTCTTAGTTTTTATCTGTTAACTATATTGACGATACCATAATTAATGGACGAGCCAATCAGAAGCGTTTGAGGGATCTCAAGGTCACGATGCTAATTTCAGTACCTGGTGCTCATGGACCTATGGTTCACAGAGGATTTTAGATAAGATGTGATGATTAAGCAGCAACAATAAATGGGATTACGAAGAAGTTCTTGTATTTATAATTGCGATAATTAAATGACTTATAGACTTTGTGCAGACTACCGCGATGTTGTCTTTCGAAGTAATATATGTTAGAGGAAGAAGTGTCCCGGAGTAAGAACTTTTTCGCTCGATCCAGATTGAGACTAAGGCGAATTATATTAATTCTCGCGAGCTGTATAATAAAAGCACCAGTAACATTTGCCGAAATATTAGCAGATGGTATCTAAGTTTCGGCTGTTCAGTGGTATAAGTATTCTATGGATATACGCTTAATGAAAATGGCAAACTTACACAATCAGAGTACACACAAACAATATTGTAGCTATATGGTCGAAGCTGAGAGTTTTTGCGACCTTATCATGGCTCCAGAGACCAACTCTTATGGAGCCAGATGGATGAGTTCCTCTACCTTATGCATTATGATTTTAGAACCTTTGAACCTCTTTCTAACCTTGAAAAGTTTTCGAACCATGTAGAAGAAGTGCATCCACTGTTATTCTTTGGTTTTGTATAATATATTTTTACTCTATACTAGTCCGAACCAATCCGAGCCAATCCGAACCTCTACATGTGACTTTCCATTTTCGCAATATTTCTAGCAAAACTTCTAATCAAACGCTGATTGAATAAAATGTTTCTTAATGTTTACTGAGCTTGTCATGTTTATTGCGAGAAATTTTCAGAATCATTCCAACACTCTGTAAACTTATTGACCAAGTGATAACTGTACTTTCAGTAATCACTAGTTTTAAGATGGATTTCCAAAGTTGTGGTAAGTTATTATCAGTAAAGTTCATCCATGTAAGGGATGAGACAACCATCACCTATGACAAGCAGTGATTGTTCCGGCAATTTGTAAAGTGAACAAAGTTGAAATCATTAACTAACTCAGTTATGCAAATGTAATGAGATTACCCAAAGAACTAATTATCCTGCAATACAATATCTCTTGTGGTGTTATATATATGAACCGCCTAGGTTTCTCATACTAAGATAAAATATTTATCAGTTGCTCTTCAGTATTTTGTATTATCACGAGTAATGTCACTCCGTAATGAAAATCATTTACACAATACAATAATCTAAATTGTTTATCATTGCCTCATGTATGTTTTCAATTTAAAACAACGTTTCTCCCCTAAATGCCATTATACGGTCGAAAATGGAAAGAGTCAGTTCTCCCTCTCGAAATACTCTCACATGGCGGCGCATATACATCCGCTACCAAGGAAGTCCTACCTATTACCTTCTCGTGGTGTGGGCGTTGTTTGCGAAACTGAGAGTACGAAAAGCAAATCTGCTGAGCTTTAACAGGGCCGGTGGACACGGAGAGTCCACCTAGGGGAGTTGGAAAACCATGATTCCAAACTAATGATGCACATGGGCTCCAATATCCTGACAGAATAAATGGCGTATGAATCAATTGTTGGTCACCGGCTACCATGGTACTGCATTTCCTTATATTGCTCCACTGCCTTATGGATTAGACCATTAGTTCAAAAATTCCGGGTATGGTGCCCTAAGAAAACCATCCTCTTTGGTTCGGGCACCCGGAACGTATCAGAGTCCACACATAAATCAAGTGACGTGTGTGGCGTATATCTATTCGGTGCCCCTTTGTATCAATATTTATATGTTCAAATAAATAAATAAATAAATAATTCCAACATGCAAAATTTATTACTTAAAAATAAAAATAGTAGTAAAAGTGATTATTTTTTCAAATTTTTAATTTTAGGAAATTCTTTTAGAAAAAATGAAATTACAAGCAATGAGATTCACATCGGAATCAGCTAGGCAACAAGATAAAATTGATGAAAAGATAACTGAAGCTAAAGGTCGTAAAAAAATAAAAAAAGAAGAATCTACCGATGTGGTTGTTAGTCAACTATTAGATAAAAGTCATCAATTAAATGAAATGTATGTGATTTTGTATTGAATTGTTACACATCAGTTTAGTTTTAGATGTAAATTTGTTTTGTTTCCATATAAAATCAGAAGTAAAACCAGATTTTAAAATACACTTAAGAAACCGAAGGTCTTGAGTTCGAGTCCCCTATGTGAGACCGTGGATCCGCATTGTTGAGGTGTCCCATACAAGGATGAAACGGTCGTCTAATGTTTCCAAATTTTCAATGGTGGTCTAGCTTGAATCGACTTGTGATTTCAACTGTGAAGATATAAACGTGTTTTGAACAAGTTTAGTCATTTTGAAACACAGAACAAGTCTTAAATTATCGGGAAGCAAGAGGATTTTTAAGGTAGTAAAGTCTTTATTAAAACGTTTTTGTGGGTCAGTCTATTATTATTGTCAGAGGGTTTCATCTGGATGATTGCTGGGATTGTTTATTTATTTCTTTTATGAAAAGAAATTCTCATTTCGACAATAACTTGCTGTTAACATGCTCTAACAGAATTAAGATAGTAAAACCGAGAAACGCATCACTGTCGCACGATTTTGAGATGAAGAATTTTAGTAGCGCAGGCTAGGGATGCTAGAGGTGTTCTAACTTTTGAGATGGACGGATTAGTTTTAAAACTATTATTGTTCTTCGGAATAACATAACAACCTCGTACAGTAAAGATGAGTGAGTAATTAGAATTTATGCACGATTATTTTCTCTTGTAACCTGAATTCCGACCTGAATGTCATTTAACTTTTCTCTTATTAGCTGATAGGCTTAATCGATTTCGATAAGTCTATTGATTGATTTTTGATTAAGGACCCAGACTACTAAAAATTCTTTTGCTTTCTTTGTGATTCCTCTGCTTAACACCTCTCAAATCACAGTTCATTTCATGAGAGAAAATAATTGAAATAAATATATAAACAACGACCACACAGTTATGGATAACAATCGACCATATTTAAGGTCAACAGAATAAGCCACTATTTAACTATGAATAAATTCTAATAGCTCACTTTGCTTTGAACTACGTAGTTACAGTGTTATTCAGAAGAACAATCAAAGTTTCATAACCAACCCATCCATCTCAGAAGTCACAACATCACCATCGTATCATAAAAGAGACTCAGTATGTCACTGAAAAAAAGGATGGTAATTCAGTGAAGAAAATTTTCTTTTTGTTGACATTATAGCAACTCTCCTATAGTTAAGTTTGATTACGGTTGGTTTAGTCGAGATCTTTTTATTTAACTTATTCAACAGATGGTGTTATCCTAGCAGTAACAATTTGTCTATTTCTTTGTATTGTTATGGTTACTATCATATACACATAAATGTGTATGCTTGATCACATGTAATAGCCTACGCACATAATCCTCATTCTACCTCAAGTGTTAACCGCTTAACGATCTCTTGATGAATCATTTTCCTACATGTCTTACTTACTTACTCCTCTTACCCCTCGTGGAGGAGCATAAACCGCTCACCAGCATTCTCCATCCAACCCTGTCCTAGGCCTTCCTTTCCAGTTCGTTCCAGTTGTTATTCATCCTTTTCATATCTGCCTCTATTTCTCGGCGTAAGATCATATATATATGCTTGAATCTTATTGATTGCTTTTGCTTAGACTTTGTCTTGCATCACTGAGCCTTGGTTCGATTCGACTACAAATTAGCATTTGTATTCACTCACGCATTCACACACATTAGCCTCTCTGTTCCAATTCGCTCGATGTGCTTGTAACTTTGTTATCTGTGCTATCCGCTAATAAACTGTAGTCGCCGTTTCTTATTACCATCTGAATTCTTACACCGTTGGGATTTACATGATAACTGTTATCAAGATGATTTTTAAATGAACCATGAGAAATTATCTCGAAGCCAAGTCACTAACACATAGTAAAATCTTTGTATTAAGAATTTGTTATGAATTTTGAGTTGGGGAATAAACGAAGTTTATGATTGTTAAAATGAATAAATAGAATGCTAATCAATAGACGATGTACAATGAATATAATCTGACTGACGATTAAGCTGCTCAAAAGAGGTTGAATAACTGACGCTCACCTTTAAATGAACTGATATTATAGATATAATCATTAACCACAAGATCAGTCATTTTTTCTAATAAAATAACATCCTTAAACTTGAATAATGATCAGTTTTACATAATTAGTTATCATGATTAATCTGATTGTCCTAATGACTATGAATGTAATCATCTTACAGTTAACATATTTTATTGGAATAGCTCTGAGATGATTCCTTATACTTCGTATGTCAATCGCCCTGATAACCGTTATTCAATAAATCCCGATGATGTATGAATTCAAAAAGCAACACGAAGCACAGACTACAGTTTATTATTGAATAGTAGAACTAGAAGCACACCAAACGAATACGAGCAGAGAAGCTAATATGCGCGCACGAGCCAGTGGGAGAATTTAGAGGCAAATAAACAAGATCCAAATTAAATGATAAGATTATAGCGCATACATATATGTGGAAAAGAGATGCGAAGTGGATATTGTCGTTGAAAAAAAATGGAAACGAATTGAGTGTGATTCAATATTTATAACCAGATAAAAATACGTTACTGACATTTGATGAGTTTGGTAAACAGTACACACTAACAAGCACACACTCAATAAAACAGTGAGGGTTGAGAGAGATAATAGTTGACAAGGTCAAAGTGTAACTCAAGAAGAATGTATAAGCTGGTATGTCTGGAAGCTAGAATAAACGGTATGAACTTGAAATAGTACTAGACACTAACATGACATCTCGTGAGACGATCTTTGAGATTAGTTCAATAATTTTGAATGTCGTTATCCAAAAGGAAGGTATTTTCAGAATTCGAAGGAAACAAATTGTTCATTATGGCCACTACCTCATTATAATTCAATACAAATCTTTCTAAAGCTTTATTCCACACAAAGCCAATGTTGTTCACATGTGAAAAATATCTTACTCGAGTAGAATTGTCCTTTAATGATGAATAAAGAGTATTTATTAGTGAGCTAAATTATGTCTATCCATAGTATATAAATATATTCAAGTTTACCAAGGTGATATCGTATTGAAGTGAACGAGAACACAAGGGAGGACAAACGAATGTATTTGAACACACAATTACTGAACCTCTTACGAAAATCTGAAAATTATAGAATAAATACTTCATTTGCAAAATGTCAATCAATCGTCTCAGACTTCATTGTTCCTGTATTTTCATTACCAATTGCTTTCTGTTCTTGTTCTTCCCTCCTCAATCTTCTTGACCTTCTGCTGTTAAACACTGTATTCCTAACTAGCGTTATATACTACTAATTTCGATATAAGTAGTACACATACCATATTATGATTTCACTAGAACTAATTATTTATACTTTTATTTTTGTAGGTATCAAAAAGATCGTCAAGAACATGAAACAGCTTTAGCTGAACGTTTACAACAAAAACAATTAAAGTCAGATGAGAAACAATCAAGTAACATTGATAATGATAAAATAGAAGAAAATCAATCAAAACCATCAGATAGTAAACGTTCCAAATTGAAACAACGTCCTTTACCACGTCTTTAGTAAGTTAGTATACAATCATTATTATTATTCTCAATATTAATAATAAATGAATTGTCTATTAACAGATATATATTCTTTGTTATGTGTCAATGATTAAAGAAATTGTGTTCCTGACGTTTCGTCACTTAATGTAAGCTACTTCTTCAGAGTAAATACATGATTGAATTTAATTAACATAGTTTTAAAATGTTTCTTTTGTACTATTTTGAAACTTGTGGTAATTGAATTCGGTTATTGAGTTATTCTGAAGAAGTAGCTCACATTAAGTCACGAAACGTCAGAAGTACAATTTCTTTATTCACTGGAATATAACAAAGTGATACATTCATTATTAACTTTCTACCCAATGCTTTATTTATTTGAAACTGTTCAATCCAACCTTGTCATTGATACCTACAAACTCAATTATAATCGAATCAAATTAGTTGCCTATAAGTCAACTCAAATATTATCATGGTATATATAAATTTGAGAGAGACTGACCAGTTGCAGTCCCAAACATCAATGGGAAGGTTCAAAAAAACAATACTAAATGAATTTAAACTTCAACCCATTACACAAACAAGTGGCTATCAGGACTCAGTAGCTAAGTGGATAATGCGATGGCGTTTGAAGTGAAAGGTACTGGATTCGAGTCCCCAAGTGGACATGAACTCTTAGATGCAGGTACATCCAGCTGATGAGTCCCAAATAGGACGAAACGCGCGTTCTGGATTCCACTACTAGCCACTATCCACCTTTGCCTACAATGCTTGTGAATTAAGGCTATATCGAGGCAATACTCACAGTATGCACATATGCCAATTAGAGACTGACCAGTTGCATTCCTAATACATTGATGGGAAGATTCAAACAAACAATACTAAGTGAATTTAATATTAAGTATAGTTGGTTATGAAACCGAATGTTTGGATAATGAAATAATTAATCACTTCTTATCAATATGTTGTCTGATTCCTTTTTAGTCAAGCCATATCAGTCCTGTTTGAGTGATAATTTTGTGAACGAGAACACGAGTGGGAACAATGAAATAGTAAAGTACGAGGACGATACATGAAATACTTCATTTACAGATTTCCATCATTTGTCTTTTATATTTTGTATGATTCTTCAAATCTACAATACCTTTCTTATTCCGTTTCTGTTTTATTTAAGTTGACCTTCATAGTATTCTGTTGTCAGGTTTTCTATCACCGACATGTGTTACATACAACTTATGTTGATAGACATAATCAATGAAACAGAGTTTCATATTTATTAAGCCACCTTTTTTCCTTTCACAGTAAAATCAATTGATACCTATCTTGTTGAGGTAATCAAATTGATGATCAGATATTAAAAAAAAGAAATTCATTTAGATCTCTTTTCGTGGATAAGTTAAACTTGGACATAAACACCGTTGGATGCCAGGTCAGTGGTTTAAAGTTTAAGGGCTCGAACCCAAGACTGATAGGTTTTGGGTTCGAATCTTGCGAGGCGGGATCGTGGATGTGCACTGCTGAGTAGTTCCTCAATAGGACGGAATGGCCATCCAGTGCTTCTAGATTTTTCATAGTGGTCTAGCTTCGATTGACTAATGATTTCAACTATAAAAGTTATTGTTTTTGATAGTTAAACCCTATTATTTATTGCGTAATTTTTTCCAACTTACACAGAGTTTTGTGACCAATTGAGATAGATCTAAGATTATTTATATACTGAGATCTACATAATACTTCTGTTATATTTATATTTATTCAATGACGTTTGTTTAATTGGTTCCTTAGTGGTATCTTGAGTCACTTTTAAAAGTGTAAATGTTATATTTAGAGTTTGGATTCCTGCTATACCGGGTATAATGTAAGCGCTCGAATGCTTGAACTCTCCAATTAGTAAGTTAGAAGACGGAAGAAAAATGGGATGGAATCTTATTCCAAACGCTGTCAAATATGGTACAAAACTATTTTGATATTTATAGTTTTTTAATAAAAACAAAAAGATCATTAAAGCCATCCAATCCACATGCAGTGGTTTTTAGCATTTGTCCAATAGGGAAGCTGCACGTTGATATTCTGGAATATTCTTCTAAATGATGATTCAGTGGAATGCCTTCGACTCTTTTGGAGATTCATACAGCTTTCTTGAGTTCACTCGAAACCGTCGCCATAGTGATAATGATTGATTTTATTTGTGGTTGACGTAGTTTTACCAAACATTTTAGGTTGTTCACTGATATTCAAAGTATAACTACTTAACTGATGAGTTCATTTCGACGGAGAGTTCATGAAGATCAATAGATTTTGTAGCTAACTTTTTTATCACAAACAGAAACTAATAATCAAATCAATTGAAACCGAACTTACGATGGATTCTGTGAATATGTAGTGAAAAAGTATGATTTATCAAACTAAAGAAGAATCATTTAATTTTACCATATAGCAAAGTCACTGAAACTGTTATAATATGGATCCGATTGAATGTTCTAAGGATATCATGTTCCTTGTTAGACTTGAAAGTTATGGGCCCGATCCTATAAGGGCTCATGGATAAGCACCGCTGTGAGGTTCCAAACTAGAATGGAACGGCTACTCAACAATCATTGGTCTCTAGTTTCACTCTATATTATAACAATCTTTTACGAAATCTATTTTCATAATCAATTAATTTGAAAGGTGTCTGAGTTCCAAACAAGGTTATTCAGAAATGTAGATCTATTACAACTACTACTTAGTAGATTCAGTTTTCAATTATAATACCAACTACTACTCCTTATAGTAACTGAATTTGTTACAGAGGCTACTCGATCACATTTTTAACTCTTTTGTTAAATGAATAGATGGGGAAAGAAGAGCGAATCAGTGTTCAGAAATGAATCATCCTAATAAATCATTTTGCTTTATTCCTATTCTATTTTAGAACGTCGACCAATCGTGAGGAAGGTAGCAATAAAGAAAAATTGAAGATCATTCAACCAGAGAATAACAATGACCAGTGGTCTTGAAATAAAAGACAATGTTCAGTTATAACTTGATCTTTGAATTAACCATATATTTTACATATTTATTGAATATCATCGTTTTATTCTTATTAAACAAGCGGGAAACTCTGTTGAATACTACTTTAATCAGTAAACAGTAATACAATGTGCTATTATTCCATCTAAGCGATAAATGAGCAAAATTGGTTTGAAAACGTACAGCACTATATTCATTGTACTAACAAACGTAGAATCAATCGATGTGAAGCCATATATACATTCGAATAGTAAAACTGTCTTGATCTTCGTATTGAAGATTGTAACTTTGATATTGGCTGACAGTTGTTTAGAGTTCCATATGCTCTTCAACTGTAGGGATGCTGCCCTTACTTTACCAATCCTTGCATTTATTTCTACGTTAGATCCTCCTCGTTCATCGATGAAAGTTTTCACCTCTTTCAGAATTTCTACATCAAGTGTGATTGGGTTGGTGTTCTCCGTGTTGTATTTCCTTTTCCCTAGTGTACGTTGAGGCCTACTGATGCATAGGCTTCTACTACACTGCTTGTCTTGACCTACATTCGTTCACGTGTATGGGGTAGAAGGGCCAGGTCATCTGCGAACTCCAAATCGTCTAGTTGCATATTGGCTCTCCATTGTATTCCGTGCTTTCCCTCCGATGCGGAGGTCTTCATAATCAAGTCAACCACCAGAAGAAAGTGTTCTACAGTTCTACTATATGGAGCTGAAACTTGGAGAATTACTACATCTATCACCAAAAATGTACAAGTATTTTTAAACAATAGTCTACACAAGATACTTGATGTCCGTTGACAGGATACCATCAGCAACATCCTATTGTGGGAGAGAACAAACCAGCTTCGTCTGAATAGAAAATGAGGAAAAGATGATGGAGGCGGATAGGACATACATTGTGGAAATCATCAAACTGCATCACGAGGCAAACGCTAACTTGGGATCCTAAAGGGAAACGAAGAAGTGGAAGGCTAAAGAGCACACTGCGTCGGGAATTAGAAGCAAATTTCAAAAGGATGAATAAAAACTGGAAACAAGTTAAATGGATTGTCCAGGACAGAGTTCGATGAAGAATACTGATGGGCGGTCTATGCTCCTCCATGAGGGGTAAGAGGCGTAGGTAAATAACTAATATTCGACTAATAATTGTCAAATTATATACAAGGGCTACAGAAAATACATGCTTCCTTAAAAAATTAAAATCGACATTACTTAGTACCATTATCAAAAAAAAATTCATTGACCATCAGGAGGAAATTAACGACGATAACATTGATGACAATAGTGTACTCGTCTACACCATATACTAAATTCTTAAAGTACAATTTATAGTTATGGTCAACGTATAAATATCTGTAAGAAAGAAATCAATATTTTGTTCTGAACAAAAATTTCCAAAGACTGTAAATACCGAAAAGAAGAGAAACCTAATAAAAAGGGGGGGGGAGGAGACGTTTTTATATATGAGAGGTATAAGAGTTAATGATCGTCGAAAGTAAAGAAGAAAATTAGTGACATTAAGTACTCATTAGAGGTAAAGGTGAGTATTACAGTGGTGTGGTCTACTTATATCTATATAAGTAGTATATGGTGTGGGTCAGACATAGAATATATTTTGGCAGAAGACCTATGAGCAAAGAACTGAAATGAAGCGCAATCGTTTGGAAAATGTATGAGCAATGAAATTAGAGAAGAAACAGAGAAGATTGAAACAATTGGTTGTTAATTTGCAAATTGACTGTTCATTATTTGGTTATCAGAATTTACTGAGATACTCTGTAATTTTTGCTTAAATACATTCGATTGTCCCCAACTAGTGTTCTGTACACTACATTACGACCGGATAATATATTGGATACATTATTTATTAATATAGGGTTCAAATTTAAATATCTGACCAACTAAAGCTTTGATAATAACTACTAGTTTTCAATGGACAAATTCTTTAGGGTCATTTGTTTGTCCTCTCCCATAGTAGGCTGTTGCTGATAGTATCCAGCAAGTGAATCGTGAGTATTTTGCGTAAACAACTGTTTATAAATACTTTTACCTTCTTGACGATGGATGTAGTAGTTCTCCACGTTTCAGCTCCGTACAGTAGGACTGTCTTGACTTTCGTATTGAAGATTCTCACTTTGAAGTTAGTTGACAGTTGTTTTTTGAGTTCCATATGTTCTTCAATTGTAGAAATGCTGCTCTTGCTCTGTCAATACTCGTCTTTACATATGCATAAGATCCTCCTTGTTCATCAATGATGCTTCTCAGGTACGTGAATTTTTCCACATCTTCTACGGTTTCTCCATCAAGTGTGATTGGGTTGGTGTTCTCCGTGTTATATTTGAGAATCTTGCCTTTTCCTTTGTGTATGTTGAGGCCTATTGGTGCAGAGGCTGCTGTTACATTTGCTGTCCTCGTCTGTATTTGTTCGTGTGTACCAGAATAATAGTTAGTAAATAACGGAGTTAAATAAATCAAATACGAGAATGAAGTTTTGTATATGCATATTTTGTATAATCGTTGAGCACAGAACGGAAAATCGGAGGAACTGAGTTAAAGAGACGAATAGAAGAGAGCGAAGCGAAACAAAATGACACGCAAGTGAGCTAACTCCTAATTCTTTATATTAATTTAAAGCCCTTTTCCAATCCTAATAATCAGGAGAGTTGTCTCAAAGTCACTCCAACATCGCTCAAAGATCTTTCATAAGTTATAGTCTTACCGTAATATTTTTAGTTTCCGATACAGTGAACTAATCAGATATCGAAAAATCAATAAGCTCACGCCCTTGGTTAACATGTGCCTTCCCTATCTAATGAACAAAGCGAATACCACTGGAAGAAAAGTGTGGTTTATACTTCTGAAGGACATATATATGAATGAATAAATGTGTACAGTTATTTCTAGATTCAATTGACTAAGAAAAATCTTCCTTTTCAATCAAGTGGCCAGTCGGATTAACGAATAGGAAGGATACTGAGCTTTTGTTGACTTAGCTGTAAATATCCACTTAATGAGCTTAGGTCAGTTTTATAATTTATTTTAATTATGAGTTTTGTTATGGAAGAGCATCAGTATCTGGTCCCTGTTCTTATCTGGGTTTGTGATGATAAATGACCCTGAATCCATTTCGACATTTACATACCTTGACTGATTTTCTCTACGTAAGTATCCACACTTATTAGTTAACTGATAAATTAAATGGTATATGACTTATTTAATTCTGATTAACGGTAGAGCTGACAAGATATAATCTTAATATTAATATTTTAATCTACAGTTTCATATATATTCTCTAATCAAATTCTCAATGTAGTTAGGTTGATATCAGAAGAGATGCAATAGTAACCTTTTCTTCTATTGTTACTGACAGAACCTTAGCTTTATTATTGATCTATGTATGTTAGCTCCTCATTATTTGAATTGTTCTATATTTTGTTTAAAAATATATACTACTCAAATACATCATACCTTTCATACCTGCTCCTGGTATTCTATTGACACTTACAAGGTAAATCAATTTTCAATAAAGTGTTGTAACATATAATCAATCATTTGCTATTTCTTTCTGTTATAAACGATAGGATACTTGTTATAACCCTAGGGTTTCTTGTTATAACAATCCTTTCACTTTTGAAACGTATATATGGGACGTTAATTTACATTAGATGAATATCTCCCAGTGTCTATTCTACAAGACTTCAACCCAACTCAGATCAAGAACACAAGATTAGCCAAAAATCCGACATAATCTAACAACAAGGAACAGTTAATCAATAATAATCAGGATAGAGGAATATATAACTCATCTGACACCTGTCACACTATCTATAAGTGTCGAACTCAGCAAAATAACCAATCATTATCATTCTCGCTTACATATCACTATCAATTCTCTAAACCGTACTATCTAGATACAACAACATAGATTATTTTATCAGAACAATTGTAAAGCTATAACAACATGAAATTAACTGACCTTACTTTATTGAAAAGGAACTATTCATTAACTGATTACTTAAACTGAATTAGAAGAATAGTTCACCATAGTGATAGTAATATCTAAGCAACTTTTATATATTTGTTGACTTTGTGGGCTGAAACTTTGAAAAGTTAACTTATTGTTTTTTTTGAAATTTCAATGTAAACTAACAACAGAAAGATTGTATTCATTTCATTTTGTAATAGGGAAAGACCATTTCTAATTATGACAGGACTTAATATAAATGTATCTAGTGTCAGGAATGGGAATGGTTTGGTCTAATGCAAATGTAAACAGTGACCAAAATGAAATGGGCATTACGAAAATGTTAAGAAGTTAGGTGCGGCCAGACCAGAACGTGGCACAAATCCATAAAGTCACTGACAATTGCACTGAGCCATGCTGGTAGGTGTAAACTAATTGGTTGGGATTCGCGAGATAATAGCAATCGATGGTTAGAGACCTTGAATGAAATGGCTCAAAATCGTTTACAATGACGAAAGTGCATCCACTCTTTATGTTCTCCCAAATTCTAATCTTCTGAATTCTTCATGCCGCTATATTTTTTCTCTCTCCAAATTTATTTCATTGGATTATACTGCTTCAATAACATCTTCAAACCCTAATCTTTCCGATTACTGCTTATACCCTTACTACTTCTACCACTATGGGATTTGAATCGACAACTTCATCTCTCTGCTAATGTGGTATGGCAACTCGAACTGATGTACGTACGTACGAAGTTCTACTTTGTGACTGACTGACTGAAAATGTTGAGATAGTGGAGATTTGTAGCTCAGGTAGATGATTTTGATGGAGTTTTATTCTTTAAGATGGATGGTTTGCCCGTGGAGTTTTCATCGTTCTTCACTTCTATCTGAAGTTTGTGCTGATGATGTCGTCCAGAAGAACGATAAAAGCTCCACGACCAAACCATCCAGCTCAGAGAACAAAACTCCATATATATATATATAATGGAAATGTTTTTGACTGCTTGTTAAGTGACACGGGTTTGAACCATTGTGAAGAAGGGACAGAGGAGTGATAGTTTCTTAAAAACGACAGAAACGTTTTCTTGATGAATACCAATTAGGAG